GCCGGACAACCTCGAGCGCGGCGTCTCAGAGCTCCGAGTTGCGGGGGCCTCCTGGTGCCTCCTGGGGCCTCCTGGGGACCTCCTGGGGCTTCCTCCTGGGCCTCCTGTGGCCTCCTGAACTCCACTTGGGGTTTCCTGAAGCCTTTTGGGGCTTCCAGGGGGGAATATCTAACCTGTGGCCGTTTGGGCTCCTCAAAATGGAGGGGGGGCCACAAGAGCAGGGAAAATCAACGAATCGGCACTGGATGGGTATTAACTTGACACGTTCTGATAGGGGGCCTCCTCCTGGGAGCCCCCTGGGAATCTCCTGCGGACCCCTGGAGCCTGTCCTGGGCGTCCTGCGGCCTCCTGAAGCTCTCTGGGGCCTCCTGGGGCTCCCAGGGTCCCAGGGAGGATATGTAACATGTGGTTTTCTGGGCCCCCAGGCTGGACCATCTTGCGCGGCATCTGGGAGCTCAGAGTTGCGAGAATGTCTTGTGCGAAACAGGCCGGACCACCTTGCGCACGGCATCTCAGAGCTCAGAATTGCGAGGATGTCTCAGGCGAGACCGGCCGGACCACCTCGCGCAGGGCATCTCAGAGCTCAGAAGTTCGAGGATGTCTCAGGCGGGCTCCCAGGGTCCCAGGCAGGGAGGATATGTAACATGCGGTCTTCTTGGCCCCCAGGCTGGACCACCTCTTGCGCGGCATCTGGGAGCTCAGAATTGCGAGAATGTCTTGTGCGAAACAGGCCGGACCACCTTGCGCACGGCATCTCAGAGTTCAGAGATGCGAGGATGTCTCAAGCGTGACGCCGGACCACCTCGCGCAGGGCATCTCAGAGCTAAGAAGTTCGAGGATGTCTCAGGCGAAACGGGCCGGATCACCTCTCGCGCGGCATCTCCGAGGTCAGAGTTTCGAGGATGTCTCAGGCGAAACGGGCCGGACCACCTTTTGAGGATGTCTCAGGCGAAACGGGCCGGACCACCTCTCGCACGGCACCTCGGGGCTCAGAGTTTCGAGGATGTCTCAAGCGAAACGGCCCGGACCACCTCTCGCGCGGCGTCCCAGAGCGCAACTTTTCGAGGATGTCTCAGGCGAAACGGCCAACCCCGGCCACTCAGAAACGAGAGTTGTGAGGATGTCTCAAGCGAAACGGCTCGGACCATCAAATTTTTGAGAGCGGTGTTGACAAGGACCGGGGCGGGTAAAGCAAACCCCGGGTCCGGGCCGGGTCCGGGCCGGGACGCCGGGTCCGGGCCGGGTCGCCGGGTCCAAGCCGGGTCCGGGCCGGGTCTGGGTCCGGGCCGGGTCCGGGCCGGGTCCGGGCCGGGTCCGGGTCCGGGCCGGGTCCGGGCCGGGTCCGGGCCGGGTCCGGGTCCGGGCCGGGTCCGGGCCGGGTCGGGGCCGGGTCCGGGCCGGGGTCCGGGCCGGGTCCGGGTCTGGTCCGGGTCCGGGCCGGGTCCGGGCCGGGTCCGGGTCCGGGCCGGGTCCGGGCCGGGTCCGGGCTGGGTCCGGGCCGGGCCCAGGCCGGTCCGGGCCGGGTCCGGGCTGGGTCCGGGCCGGGTCCAGGTCCGGGCCGAAACCTGGGCACCGGGTCCGGGCCGGGTCCGGGCTCAAAAGCCCCCAAAAATTCTCGAAGAAGCACCCTTGAAGCTTCAAAACTGTTCCCGCGAGGCCCCCGCGGAAACCTCAAGACACTCGAACCAGCATCCAGCAAGCCTTTGACCCACATCCCAAACATAGTGGCGGGATGGGCCGAAGGCCACTGGATCCGCCGCCCCTTGTTCATTATCACAGCGGTGCCTGCATAAACCGGATGATAATTCATGATTTTGGCCTCTTCGGGCCTGCCCCGAGTACCTATTTGAAGGCTTCTTGGGCCGTCTTGGAGGCCTCTTGGAAGCCTTTTGGACCGTCTTCGGACATCTTGAGGCCCTCTTGGGCCGACCTGTTGCTTGTTTAGCTGACTTGGAGGAATCCTGCACCCTCCCGGGCCGTCTGGAAAGCCATCTTGGACCATCTACGGCCCGAAAACCGACCCGTATGTTGAGGGCGGTTTTTCGAGAGGCCAGCGCGCTCGGCGAAGCCCCAAGGGGATTTTCCTTTGGAGAAGAACCAAAACCACGGCTTCAGACGTATTGCACGCCAGGATGTTGGCATTTACTTCTATCGGCTTTCCGACGGCCCAAAACGGCCCAACCGCCCCCCCAAATCGTCTCAAAATCGGCCAAGAGGCCTCCAAGATAGCCCCAGAACGGCACAAGAGGCCCCCAAGACGGCCCCTTGAGAGCTCCAAGACGGCCCAAGAGGTTTCCAAGACGCCCGAATTGGGCCTCCGAGACGGCCCTGATGCATCCAAAGGGGGGCCCAAGTCGGTGCAGAGATGGCCCCAAGACGGCTCCCGACGGCGACAGACGGGCCACGAACGCGGTAAAACGGCCACAGACGCCCCCGCGAAAACCGCAAAGGCCCCCGGGAGGCCCCCAAAAGGCCCCCACGAGGCCTCCAAGGGCCCCCAAGAAGCTCCCAGGAGGCCCCACGAGTGCCCCAAGAGGCTCCCAAGATGCCGCCTCCTCCTCCTCCTCCTCCTCCTCCTCCTCCTCATCATCATCATCATCATCAGCATCCTCCTCCTTCTGCATCCCCTCGAAAGCGTTTTTCCATATTTTCGCGTGGCAGAGTGCTCAGGTGGGACAACAGCGGGTGGACCACAGCTTTCAATCCAGTCAGCTCGATAGATCCCGCCGCCCACCACAGATTTGCTTACGAATTTACCCTTTCTCTGGGATGCAAAAAACAGTCGGACAGGGTCTGATTATTGTTCTGTGGTCACGTGGCTTCCAGGAGCTCCGCCATGGAGTGCGCTTCATCAACATCATCGTCATCACCATCATCATCAGCATCATCATCATCATCATCATCATCATCAGCAGCAGCATCATCATCATCATCAGCATCATCATCATCAGCATCAGCATCAGCATCAGCATCAGCATCAGCATCATCATCATCATCATCATCATAATCATCAGCATCGTCATTAGCAGCGTCACCAACATCATCATCACCATCATCACCATCGTCGTCATCATCATATTCCTTCCTCCCCTGATCCTCCCTTTCATCCTCCCCCCAGTGTTCTCCCAAAAAATTCCACAACGGCTGGGGGGACGCGTAATCCGATAGCGTTCCCCCCAGAATTTCCACAGCGGCTGGGGGGGACACATTATCCGATAGCTTGGCCAAGCTAGGGTCCAACGTTTGACCACAGAGGCGTTCCCCAACAAGCAGTGGGGCGGCGGTAATTGGCTGTGTGCGTCTTCGATGATGATGTTGATGATGATATGATGTGATCGTGTGGCGGTGACGATTGCGAAAGGTGAAGCCGCTCCCGCTTCGGACATCGAAGGGCAGCGCGTCCATGTGATCGCTGGCAAAGAATACGTAGCACCCGCAATTGCGGATAAGAGTGAAGGGGGCCGGCGCGGGCGACGCGGGCGTCGTCGAGCCGGCGGACCTCGTGGCCCCCACCTTCCCTTCGATGACGCTCTCCTCCTCCTCCTCCACCTCCTCCTCCTCCTCCTCGTCCTCCTCCTCCTCCTCCTTTTCTTCCTCGTCCTCGTACTCATCGTCATCGTCATCCTCCTCCTCCACCTCGTCCTCCTCCTCCTCCTCCTCTTCTTCCTCGTCCTCCCTCTCCCCCCCTCGTCCTTCCATCATCGTCCTCCCAGTGTCGTCCATCATCATCCTCCTCCCCCTCCTCCCCTCCTCCCCCTCCTCGTGCTCCTCCTCCCTTTCCTCCCCCTCCACCCCCTCCTCGTCCACCTGCTCCTCTTTCTCCACATTCTCCTTACATCCTCTCTTCTTCCGCGTCCCCCTCGTCCCTTGTTTACTCCTCTTGCCTCCCCTTTCTTTCCCAAAATAACGGCAATACAATCCTTTTTTCCACTTTATGCTCCCCGACTTCTCTGATCAAGGCAACTCGCCACGGCAAAATTGTTGGACGGGCTGGTGTGGATGCGCGGGGCTTGAAGAGGTCGTTGCGGGCTCAGACGGCATGCAAAAATCCGCCGCCGCGCTTGTGCGGCATTGGTTTGTTCAGTGAACGTGGTTTAGGTCGCGGGTGGGTCGCGGGCTCTCCACCTCCACCTGGGAAGAATGCAAAAGCAGCCCGCCGCAGGCGCCGAAACAATTGGTTTGCATGCCCGCGCAGGCGCCGGAAAAATTGGTTTGTACCCTGAACGTGGTCGCGGGTGGGCCGCGGGCTCTCCACCTGAAACGAAAGCAAAAGATGCCCGCCGCAGGCGCCGACAAATGTGGTTTGTATCCTGAACGCGGTTAAGGTCGCGAGTTGGTCGCGAGTTGGTCGCGGGGTGGGTCGCGGGCTCTCCACCCGAAGGAATGCAAAAAAAGCCCGCCGCAGGCGCCGAAAATTGTGATTTGTACCTTGAACGTGGTTCGGGTCGAAAGTGGGTCGCGGGTGGGTCGCGGGGTGGGTCGCGGGTGGGTCGCGGGTGGGTCGCGGGTGGGTCGCGGGTGGGTCGCGGGGTGAGCCGCGGGCGGGTGGGTCGCGGGTGGGTCGCGGGGTGGGTCGCGGGTGGGTCGCGGGTGGGTCGCGGGTGGGTCGCGGGTGGGTCGCGGGTGGGTCGCGGGTGGGTCGCGGGGTGGGTCGCGGGGTGGGTCGCGGGGTGGGTCGCGGGGTGGGTCGCGGGGTGGGTCGCGGGCGGGTCGCGGGTGGGTCGCGGGTGGGTCGCGGGGTGGGTCGCGGGGTGGGTCGCGGGTGGGTCGCGGGGCGGGTTGCGGGTGGGACGGCGACAACAAACAACAACAACAAACAACAAGAAACAAAAACAAACAACAACAACAACAACAACAACGAGAATCCGCACCGCGGAATCCCACTTCAGCCACGCACCCAGGGACAGTGACTGCCGTTCGGCCCCCTCACCCTGATAAGAGACGATCACATCGAATGGATGGGCGCGCCTGTGTTTTCTCCCAGGTCCGCGTGGAATGAATCAAAAACCAAGGCCGCAACCATGTGTGCAGCGAGCGGCACCGAAGCGGAAACGCCACCACGTTCGCGCGCCGTGCCGATCTAAGGCGGCGTTCTTCAAGATGTCCCCCAGAAGGGAGGCCTTGCTCATGAAGTTTGCGAAGTCGAAGTCCGACGACGGCACCCGAGCATCATTTGCATCCTTCATCTTCTTTGTGCCTTTTGGCGCGAGGCCCAGGCGTGATTGGAGCTCCTGGTAAACAGCGTATTTGTGCTCGGCAGGCACCTGGTGCATTTGCACCGCGGACCCTCCGTGTTGGAGCGTTCCGAAGCCAGCGGCGTCGCCGAACCGAATCATCAGGCGCGTGGAACTCTCGATGACCTCTGGGGTGGCCCCTGTGAACGAGGACTTGTTCTTGGCAGCCGTGCGCAGGTTCTGAGCGCTGCTCAGGATAGACACCAGGATCCTCTTCTTGAGCCCAGGCTCCTCCTCGAAACTGTCCTCCGCCAGCGGGGCCTCAGTGCGCATCCTTTTGCGAGAGCCTCCAGCTCCTGCTGCTGCCTCGTCTGCGGCCGGGGGCGCGGCTTGCGTGAGCCCCGACGCTGTCGCGGCCGAAGGGCCAAGCTGGCTCGGCGGGCCCACGGGCGGAGGGGCGCCCACCTGCGACGCTGGCACGCTCTGGCCGCGCACCTCGGCGACGAGAGGGGCCTCCAGAGCGCGGAGCTGGTCGAGATCCACCGGCCTGCCGTCGAGCATGTCCTTCAAGCCTTGGCAGATCTGATCGGCCACGCCCTGGTCCCCCTCCTCGCGCGCGCCCGCAGCGCCCTCGGGCGCCAACTCGCGCAGGTCGCGGAGGACGACGCTGGGGTCCCACTTCATCATGCGGTTGGCGGCTCTCACGAAGCTTTCGCTGTCGGCCGCGTACGTAGCCACAGCGACGCGACCGTCTGCGACGAGGAGGAAGCCCATGTGCGTCAGAATGACGTAATCCAGCTGCAAAACCCTGATGCCGGCGTCGGTGGTGAAGGGGTTCTGCGCGAAAGCTTTGACGTTCCAATTGCTGGCGATGCGCTGCAAGGTCAGCATGGGGTTCACCTTAGACACGATATCATGCCCTACGAGCCATTCCGCAGACGCGAGGGTGGGGGGCGGCTTGGATGCGAAACGCGTGCGGGCCTCCATGAAGTCTTTAGTTACCTCCTTGGCGCGCACCGTCATCTGGAAGTTCTTGGCAAACCAGTCCCCCAACGCCACGGCGGCGTCAACTGATGGCCGCGTCACCTCGGGGGGAATGTGGGACGGGTCCAAGTTGTCCAAGAGGGCATCGATGTTCGCGTGGGCGTGCTTCCCCAAACATTCCACAATCTCCTCCCCAGTCATCTCCTGTACCTGGCTATCACTCTTGCCGGCCTTCCCCAAGAAGAATCCCACCACTTTCTCTCCCGCGTCGATCGGCGGGATGAACTGGAGCGTCCGCGTCATGTCCTTCCGGACGGCGGAATATCCGCTGTCCTCGTTATCCCCCTTGGACGCCCGGGCCTCGCCGCGGACGAAATCGGCAGACTTGTTGAACTCGGTGCGGAAGTGCCCCTTGACTTCTGGGGCCCAGGGCAGGAAGTGCGCCCCGCGAACTCTGGAGAAGCGGTCGCTCGAGCCCCTCTCGTCACGGCGCTCCTTGCCCTTCGGGAACAGGAGAGACGAGACCAGCATGACCCCCCCCCCAGCGCTTCCACGACGTCGTCGTAGGTCGGATCGTTGAAGTAATTCGGGTCGCTATCCAGGATCCGGGCAAGCTGCGGCGGGGGCAAGTCGGGCAAGATCTTGTTGACCACCGCGATGAAGTGACCCACGAGGAAGCGCATCATGCCCGCTGTTGAGTCTGGTTTCTGCGCCTGGTCATAAACCTCTTCGACGTGCATCATGACTGCCCCGCGCAAGTGCGGGCTCCTGACGCGGAACCTGTTTTGGCTGTTACCGGGGTGATTCTTGTAGGTCGTGGTCGTGGATTTGGTTGAGGTCATCAATGCCGCCGCCAGGCCAACTGTCGAACGTCTGGGACAGCCGCGTCTTCCCCTCGTGCAGCGCCAGGAACGCGGCATCCTCTTGCGCCTGCATGAACCCTCCAAGGCCAATGAAGGTACCCTTGTTGAAAATGGAATCCTTCTCTGGCTTTTTTTCTGGTTTGGGTTCGGTCTCCGGGTCTCGCCCATGCCTCTCGAGAGCGGCGTCGTACCTCCGCTTGGCGCGGGCCTCTCTCACCTGGTCGTAGTAGGACAGGATCTGAACGCCGAGCCACAAGGCAATGGACATGCCATCTCCCGGCTCGTCGTGCTGCAGCATGAGCAGGTTGCAGTGGCGCGCAAGGATCCCGCCGTACTTGAGCTGGACGGCGCCCAACGTCGTCGCAATGAGGAGCAGGATGTGGACGTGCACGCAGGAGGGGTGCAGCGACGTCGCCTTCTCCAGCGCAGTCGCGATGGCCCACATCAGCGGCGACGCGCGCCGCGCGACCTCCTCGGGACATGCGTTTTGACTCTCCATTAGGCGATAGGCTGCTCGGATCTCCCCCTTGGTGAGCGCGGGGGGTAGCGAGCCCTCCGCGGGGCGGGCCATTCGACGGGCGCCCTTCCCCGCCCCGGCGACGCCCGCAATGCGGAAGCACAACGCGAACACCAATGCGCTGGCAGGCAGCATGGCGGCCAGCAGCGCGGGCCTAGCAGGGGCGGGCGGGCGGCGCGGCCAGCGGGCGGCACGCCGCGCAGACTCGGTCGATAAGGTCTGCGGCGGCGAGAGAGCTTGCCGCGGGCGGGCTCGGAGGGGCCCCGTGGGGGGCGCGGGTGCCTCGTGGGGCCATTTCGCCGAATCGAATAAACGAAATGCCCAGTGGCGCCGCTCCTGGGCCTCGTCAAGAGCCGCCAGATTTTCCTTCGGGCGGCCAAATGCATCGCTGGGACGGCGCGCCCTTGCGCACGCGGCCGAGGGGGGCGATGGGCGGGCCTGCTGGCTCGGCGGGGGAGAACGACCTGGATTCAGCGATGCATCGACGATGGGTCGGCATGGGCCGCGCGGGGCCCGGGCCCCGATCGGCGACGCAATGGCGATGTGAGGTCGATCGCCCCCGCCTGCGCAAGCCCCGCCAATCGCCCCCCTTGGCGCCGCTCGGGCCCGCCGCGGCTTCGCGCGGGGGCGGGGCCAAGGCGGGCGCGCGAAGTCGCCTTTACGGCCTCGGCTGCCCTGGCCCAGATCACTCCGCTCAAGCCGCCGGGCGCGCGCGCGGGGCCGGCGGGCCGGCAGGTCAGGGTCGTGCTTCAGGGCCCCGGCGGCGAAGCGGCGGCGCTTGCTCGCCGCCGCGCGCTGCAGCCACTCGTTATGGACATCGAACAGAATCCGCAAGCCCCGACGGGGGCACCCGTCGGAGCAGCGGCGCGCGGCGCGCGGGGGGGGTGTTCCGAAGTTCTGGACCCGGGGGCCCTCAACCTGCCTCGCCCCACCCGCCAGCAAAGAGCGGTCGCGGGCCCCGCGAGCGTGAAGGGCGCAGTCGGGAATGGCGAATCAGCCGTGATATCCACCAGTGGAGCTGGAAATGGGCTCTCGTCATCTCGAGGCACATGCGCGTCCGGGGGCTGATCCACGCATTGAGCTGCTCGCAAGCCTCCGTGTTCTTCAACGCCAAAAACTTCTCGTTCGCCGGCTGCAGCGGGTCAACTTCCAGGAGCGCATTCAGACGCCACGTGTGGTTGTCCCTGTGGAAACCGCCCAGAACAATGCGCACTTCCTCAGCCAGCGATTTCGTCCACGGCAGAAAATCATCTTTCTTGGCGCGTGCCATGGAGAACAACTTGCAGGCGTTGTCGTAGCCGAGCCACCCGATGACGCAGCCGAGGTCCCAGGCGCCCTCTCGAGCGATCGAGGAGCCCACGAAGGCGAGCGGGGGCTCCGCAGGGAGGAAAAAGGCAAACTTGGACAACGCAGCGCAGCTGCACTCGCGAGTCGCGCGGGGGGGCCGCCCGGAGCTCTTCGGCGCTGCGTTGCCCCGCTCCTACCCCTTTTCCTCCCTCCTGGGGATCCGCCCCTCTTCGCGGGGCGCCAGATCGATCAAAGTGCCCCGCAGCGACGAGGGCCCTTGTGGAGCCGCAAGGCGAAGGCGTGCACGACCTCGATGGATTCGCCGCGGGTCAGCCCCATCCAATCCATGAGCCAGCCGCAAGACGTGACGGCCGTCATAATACCGCCAGTGCATCTCCGGACTTTGTCGGAGCCCTGGAGCTTGTCGACGCCGCGGGCCAGGATCGACTGCTTCAGTTCCTCGTCCAGCGCAAGCCAGCCGCGGCAAAGCTGGCGCTTCGCACCTGCAGCGTCGCCGCCGCCGCCGCGCGTGGGGCGACTCGGCGGCTGTGGCGCAGAGGAGCGGGCGGCCGTGAAATCGGGGCGGCCAGCTCGCTTCGGCGCGGGCGCCTTCCGCTTCCTTGGCAGCCCTGCTGCCGTTGGTCGGCGGGAACGGGCCGTCGCCGAGGAAGTGCGACCGCGGCCGCGGCGCCCCCGGGCGCCGCCTCGCCCCCTGGCGGCCGCGCGGCCACCCGCGCCTCGGCCGCGAGCAGCGGCGGCGGCGCCCCCTCGGCACGCTGGGTTCTGCGCCTTCAGCCAGCGCGTGACCTGTCGGTGGCCTCTGAGCCACGCAGGCCGCGCCTTCTTGTTCCCGTGGTCTCCACTTGCTGGAAGCAGAGACTTCTCGTAGGTTGCTAGCAACTCTTGTGGTACTTCCGCCCTCGGCAGGAAAGCATCGAAGGTCTCGCTCGGATTGTCTGGATCCGAGCAGCGCACCAAGTATCTCAGGGCAGACGCTTCGCCGTTCGGGGCGGCCGCGGGAGCGATGCCCAAAATCTGCGTCTGCGGGGTGAGATTGTTCTGTCCAGCACGCGCCGTCTGACATTGAGCGCAGAAGAATCGCCCGGCGGGGGCGTTCTTCAGACACCCCGTGTAGAGTTCCATCTGCAGCGTGCCCATGTTTTCGTAACCGTCCA